GTGATCTACGAATGTGATTACACAGCGACTAACTGGACTAGGAGGTGAGTGGAAGACCAATCTCGCTGACACCTCAACATTATGGACTGAATTGGTTGCCGAATTTTTATCTTTAGATGTCTTCGACAAGCAGATGCAATTCTTGTTGTTGCAATGGGCAACAAAAAGCCGAAAAACCAAACTCTGGTGAGATATTTCCACTTGTTTCATTACAGGTTTATTTCTTGCTTTCTTGTTACATTATTTGCCGAATTTTGCTGCGTTATTTTGAGGCAGGGAGTGCACGCAGCCACGCCTCAATTATTAGCGCGGTTGTGAAGCATTTTTTTCTTTGTAGCCGTTTCCGTCACAGGATCACAGACTGTTCTCAATCCTTTGAGTTTAAATGTACTCGTTTTTATCAATGTATCTGGCCCGAGATTTCATTACGTAAAGGATATTTTTCAGATGCGAGAACTGTTGAGTACTAATCAGGATGGTGCGCGAACAAACAAGGAGCTCGTTTTACTGTGGCCAGAGAACACATCTTCTCCTTCTGGAACCCACGAATGGTTCAAGGATACCTATTATACGGGTAAGTCATTTGGAAGACGTGATTCCTATCAGCGTCCCGCAAAATGAATGGTGAAATAACTTGCTTTCAACATGGGTTCTTCAGGTCACCATCACATTCGTGCCCCAAAACGCATGTTCCAGTGGTCTTCAAAGAAGCGTAAAGTCTCCAGAGAAACATTACATTCCGTGAGTCTTTGATTAGAGTATCCATCTAGACTTTTAGTGAAATTGGGAATTGTCTCTTTAGGTAAATGAACGAGATGTAGTTGAATATTATGAAAAGAATGTGTTCTGGACGGTTGATTTTCGCTCCGACTTTGCAAGAGTTGCTAGAATACTCACTGGCAATGCTATAGGTTTAGCTTTAGGAGGTGGTGGTGCAAGGTAAGTTTTCTTCTAAAGAAATGTTAGCTATGCTTCCAAGCAATTGATTTCAAATTGTACACAGAGGTGCAGCTCATGTAGGAGTCTTACGAGCCTTAAGGGAAAGGGGCATTCCTGTAGACATTATTGGTGGTACATCAATTGGCGCTCTCGTGGGAGGAGTTTACGCAGGTACACCTGACGAGAGAGTCGAAGAACGTGCGAGTGTTTGGTTTGGGGTAAGTTTCATTGCATCCTGATCTTGTTTCTTTCTTCTTTTTGTATTGGCGACCGCAGTCTCTTTTAAAGTTTGATCTCAATATTTTTTTTTGATTTGCAGACGATGACGAGCCTTTGGCGCAAAATTTTGGATTTAACATATGCGCATTCGGCCATGTTTACGGGTGCTCAACTAAACAAATGTTTGCGAGATCTCTTTGGTGAACAAGACATAGAAAATCTTTGGATGCCATACTTCTGCATCAGCACAGATATCACGTAAGTCAAACTCAGGTGCTTGTAACCCTTCATGATTCATTTAATTGCTTTTGTTTATTTTTCTTCAACTTCCTTTTCTGTAATGAAGTAAACCGTGCAATTTAAGAACTTCCGAGATGCGAGTGCACCGTAGTGGACCGCTGTGGGCATACTGTAGAGCGTCAATGTCACTCGCAGGCTATCTTCCACCGATGTGTGATCCCCAGGATGGTCATCTGCTTTTAGATGGCGGATATGTCAACAATCTTCCTGCCGACGTGATGAAGTAATTATGATTCTAAGGAAATCATGATTTAATTAGCTAAGAACCCTATTACAGATCGATGGGTGCAAAATGTGTGATTGCGGTAGATGTCGGTTCTTCTGAAGAAACGAATCTGTACAACTATGGTGATTGTCTCAGTGGATTATGGGTCCTTTGGCAGCGTTTAAATCCATGGGCTGAACCTGTGAGAATCTTGAATATGGAGGAAATACAGGTGAGCAATGCTCTTGCAGGTGCCATGAGGTTTTTTTTTGCTTTCCATTAAAGCTTGTTTCCAGACTCGGTTGGCATATGTATCATGCGTTCGACAGCTGGAACTTGTAAAGAAAGCACCATACTGTAGCTATTTCCGACCAGCTATTGACCCATTTAAAACGCTGGAGTTCAACAAGTTTGGGGAGATTTTGGTAATCATATCTCTTCTTTTTCTTGTAGATGATTTAAAACTTAATTTTCAGGAAATTGGTCATGAGTACGCTAAAGGAAAGATTGAGGAACTCATGGAATCTCCAACATTTAGCAACTTGTTAATGGGTGATGCTCAACAAACTCGATTTCATCGTCAGCTTAGCAGAACCAATAAGGTCGCTTTTTCGTCTT